TGAACTTTGCCACTCTGATCTCTCTTTCCACTCAGCCGATCAAATTCTGTGATGGCCAGCTGGTCCTCTCTCTTGCTCCTCTCAGCCCCCTCTGTTTCTTATCAGGCAGTATTACAGACGCCTATCTTTCTAATGGGGCCCTTTGAAGAGCCCCCCGGCTGCCTTTAGGATTTGGGGCATGATGCAAGTCATTGATTTTTTTTTTTTTCCTTTTTCTTTTTCTCTTTTGAGAGCCTGTTATTGCATCTTTAGCCGGTGTGTGTCTGCAAAGAGGCTATCAATAGTGTCCTGGTGCGATCAAAACATCTAGGTCGATAGGCGGGTTAATAAGCAGCTTTTTGAACCATACCTTTCACCTGAGCAGTCCGACAGGTGAGCAGCTGCACTCGGAGCCCGAATATGGCTGGAGGAGACGACTTCCTCCTCCTCTACACGGCTTCCCTCTTCTCCACCCTCCCGTCCCGCCTCCCAATCCTCTATCCTCTTTTCTCCGGCACAAAGCTGCTCAGTTGTTCATGAATGTCAGCTCAGTGCTGCCAGCTCGCTCTATCTTTCCCTCCCTCTCGCCCTCCCTCAGTCTCTCGGCCTCTCTCTCTCTTCCTCCCTCACTCCTTATCTCCCTCCCGTAGTTCGCTTAGTGTGCAAAGGAAGAACGACTGCAAATGAGTTCCTTGAACCACAGGGACCCCAATAAATAAAACTGTCAGCCAGAGATGTCGAAAGAAAAAAAAAAAAAAAAAAAAGAGGGAAGGAGCCAGAGGCACACTCTCACTGAATATTTCATCACCCACCACCACCACCACCACCACTCTGACACCCTACCCCCATTGCCCGCATCCCCATCCCCCTTCACCATCCTTGTTCCCTTCCTCTCTCATGCCACCCTCCCTCCCCCATTTTTTTTTTTCCTACTCCATCTTGTCTCCACCCCTCCTCTCCCAGCTGCCCCTTATCATATTCTCCCCCACTACTGCATAGCAACCAAAGCTTCCTGCTAAACAAAAATACCAGCTCCTCCTGGACACCAGCGACTAGAACAAAATGGTTGATGATGGCGCCGGGTCACTTGTTAAAGAAGGCGGAAGTGCACGTTGCCCGTGGTGAGCGAAATCAACTCTATATGTTGGTTTCAGGAAGCGCACTCCTTGTTCTTCAGGCATGAAGTCCTCTTCTCTTTGCATACCACTGCTGCTGAGAACAATGAAAGGCCTGGTTTCTCTCGCTCTCTCTGCCTTAACACAACAGAAGTGGGGCTCTCTGCTCTCCTTGTCGTGCAGCTCTCAGAACAAACCACTACAGACAGCCGTTAAGTTGCTTTCACAAAGGAGCGGAATTTCTTCTTTGCTGCAAAGGTGGAAACGAAAATGGAAGGATGAGGGTTGCAGACTTAAAGACAAGCCATGAAGCTCTCTTTTGTTTGCCTGTGATGTTCCAGAAAGCTCTATCTGGTGTTTGTCCTGACGTCAGTGGTAGCCAGCCACATTGGCTGTCTTGGCTGCGCTCCTGAGAGCAGACAGGCATATTTGGACTGGAGCTGAGCTGCTAGCCGAGACCTCTGGGAATCATTTGCTAGCCAGCTCTCCAGCACTAGAGAGCCCCCCTCCTTCCTCTTCCACGCAACACACACATGCACTTCTCTAACTCGCCTCCCTCCCCTTGTTTCTCTCATAGTCTCTGTCCGTCTGGAAGAGGCTTGTTGTTACACGATCACTCTCGCCAATCTAGCCTCTGGCAGGCAGGCTGCGCTGTATCATCCTCCGCCTCCTCCCTTCCCTCAGGAAACAGGCCCTATTTCAGGTGTTCCACTCCACAGCTCCTGGCTCCCAGCTACACAAGCTGTTCGCCCTCCTTTTCTGGGTGTTCGGGATTTGTCGGAGAGGGGGTGGGGGGGAGAAGAAGAAGCGGAGTGTCAGTCGGGAAAAAAAAAAAAAAGGATGTAGCTATTAGTTTGGAGGAGTGGAATTCCACACCTGAAAGTTTACTTTGGCTCTTTTTGTTTATCCCTTTGGGGGTGGAAATGGAAGATGACCGCAAAGATAACGAGAGTGACCGATCAGATTATAGCGCTGGAGACGTCCCCTGTCATTTTCTCTGCAAATGAGATGTCTTGTGTTTATGTGGGTTTGTGGCCTTTTAATTTCTTGCCTAAAGAAGAATTTGTGGTGGGTGGTGTGTGTGTGTATGTACAGAGACCCCATATGAGTCACACACATGGTCGCACACACATTTTTAGCTCTCATGTATGTGAGACTTAGCGAAGGCTTGTGCGAGCAACTTCTAAATTGACTTTGTGAGTCAACGACTGAGACTCTGAGACCTGGAGTGACAAAAATCGACTGGAGGAGGAAAAAGAAGGAGGAAAAAAAAAAAAAAGGAGGTGTGAGGAAGAAAGCTTGCTTCTCTCGCAGGCTAATTTGAAGCCTGCCATGTGGTGTTGGGAGCTCAGTAGGAGTATATGAATTTCATCTTGGTGGTTTTGAATAATCCACACTAGTCATTATAAGGGTAATCAAGCCTCCTCTCTGTTTCTCCTGCTGTCACTCACTGTCGGCCTTTTTCTCTCACTTTCTCTCGCGCACACAAAGAAAAACAGAGCGGTGAAGCAAAGGCCCTGTTAAATGGCATCTTGGATGATCCATTCAGGGAAGGCTTATGAAAACAGCTTACATCCAAATATGTCCCCCCAAAAATACCCCCCAAAAGTTGCTTCAGCCCTCCTTCGAGAACAAATTTTTAGCAACAAATTATATTTCTGTTTAGTTGCAGTTTCTCCGCAGATGAAGCAAAACCTGATCTCGAGTGGTTTCTGGAGGCAGATTCTGATGCCAGGTGTAAAATGTAGCCGCGCTGTTGACTCAGTCTGCATATATGTGGTTAAGAGGTCTGAGCGCAGACGCGAACTTCTCCTCGCCCTTCTCCTCTTTAACGCCGTCGGTCTCCCTTTGGGGCGTCTTGACTTCATCCATTCGTGTGTTGTGGTTGCAAACTCATTCTCTTGACAGCTGTCAGTCACACACCCAGTCAGCGTCTCCTCCCCCATCTTTTTCTTTCTTTCTCTCCCCCCACCCACCGTTTGGATCCTCCTCCCCTCCTCTGGGTGTCACACATGCATCTTCTTTATCAGACGACCTTTTGTACGTGGAGTTTCCTAGAGCCGTGTCACCCTGCCACAGCTCTCCTCCACACTTCACACCCCACCTTGGGTCCTGCTGGGTTTATTGCCTCGCTACGACGGGGGTAATCATGGTGGGTGTGGACTGTATCAACAAGCCATTAGCGGCTGAGTTTACGCTCTGAGTTTCTGTTTATCCCTCAGCCTCCTCCTTTCTTTCTTTTCTTTTTTCCCCCCCTAAATGCTGATTTCGCCGCTTTGGCTGTTGATTATTTACATTTTGATCGACGGCCATCGGATCATCCCAACCCCCCCCCCCTCGTCCTTTCACCTGCCTCTTCTCTCTCCCTCCATCCTTTTTTTTTTTTTTTCCCAACACCATGTCAATACCAATGTGCAAAGGTCACCCTGGCAACAGAGAGGCAGCGGTCGATAGAGATATAAATAAGCAGAAGAAAAAGGGAGAGAAGTGATAGAGGGCAGAGCCTGGTGATTCACAGGGTTAACTACAGGCCAACATCTTAGCAGCACACTCCAAAGGCTGCTCGGTCTGGGGGGAGCGAGGCCTCTGCTCTCTTTTGCAGCCTTTGTATGTATGTCTTTATTACTTGTTTTTTTTTTTTTGCTTTGCCAATATTCCTCATCCTCTCCGTCTTCCATCCTCATTGTGCTCTCTCTCCTGCCCTCGTGTACTTTTTTTCCTTCTGTCTTTCTCCCTCCTTCCCTCTCCAAGGACTAAAAAAAAAACAAAAAAACCCACAGACAGTAACGAGTTGTCGAAACCTTTTTGGACAGAGGTGTCACTTTGGATTTGGCAGCGCTGCTTGTTTCTGTTTGTTGCTTCTTATTTTTTTGGTGGGGGGAGAGGGCGAACCTGAGATGTCACGAAAGCCGAGTTCTCAAGAACTCAAAGAAGTTTTCTGACCCTCGAACGACTGTCGTACAGACTCGAGCAGCGAGCGGCGGTACACAGCAACGGAGCCGCAGGCATGCAGAAGCAGCACAAGAGAACTTTTGTTATGTAGTGTGAATCCTCCAGCCAAGTCGTGACAACTCGGCTATCCTGTGTGTGTTTGTGTGTGTGTCCATCCGGGCCACGGTTGGGTCAGTGAAGGCCTCCACACTTGGCCCCTGTTAGTCGTTGCCAGAGCTCCAAAAATGGGCAGCCCTTCCAGATCCGCCGCCGATCCACAGACAATTGACTATTCTGTGTTTCAGAGGCAGGCGGGGTGTATTTCCTGAACGTGGGACTGATTTTTCAGGCCACGGGCCAGACAGAAGGGTGGCCTTTGTCTCTGAGCTGAATGACACTGCTGACTAAGAACAGACTGAGGGGCAGTGGGAAGCAAGCGAGAGTGGGCTCTGTTTGTATGTGTGTGTTTTCCAATAGGTCTCCTTATCCACCCAGCAGAAGTAAATAGACCACTGTTACAGAATAGCGATTGATTGCGTGATGGGCTAATACGGTGCGTCTGTGTCTCTATGATGGCTCAAAGCGCTGCTGTGTGTATTTTTGTTGCCATCCGTAGCGCTGATTGGTCATTTGTTAAGAAGGAAGTCTGTATGCACGGGGAGTTGTCTCATTTTGGAATTAGGTAGTTGCAAATACGTCTGTGTAGATTATCAGCCAGGTCACTGTAATCATAGGAGCTTCAGTCAAAAAGCAACCGGGCTTCTCTTTTAGGTTCTTGAGGATGTTTCACTTCTCATCCAAGAGGCTCCTTCAGCTCCAGAAGCCTCTTATTGCAAATACTATTAAATCATTAGATCCATATATAGAGCTCTTATTTGGTTAGACTTTGTTATTTGGCAAAGCTGCACGATGACGTTGATATAAAAGTAAACATATTGAATTACTCAACCTTTTCCTCTTTTTTTTTGTCTGCAGGTCAGTGACTTCTTGTCCGGCCGCTCCCCCCTCACCTTGGCACTGCGCGTCGGCGACCACATGATGTTCGTGCAGCTCCAGCTGGCGGCGCAGCAGTCCGGCGGCCCGCAGCTCCAGCACCGGCACCTCATTACCCGGGGCAACACGGAGGCCGCCATGGGACAGCCCACGGGGCAGCCCCGCGTCCCCCACCCTCACCCCCACTCCCACCACCACCCCCACCATCCACACAGTCACCCCAGCCCCCACTTGTCCCAGCCTCACCCGGTCCCTTCCTCCCCCTCCTCCCCGGGCTCCCCGTCCTTCCCCCTGCCCTCCACGCACCACCAGCCGCTCCCTCCCATGTACCACCAGTCGCCCTCCTCTGCTCACTGTAGCCCCCCAACTCCCCCTCCCCCACCCCTCTCCCCTCGCCCATCCCACGTGCCCGGGGGTCTTTTCCGCTCTCCGGCCCACCACCATCACCACCATCACCACTACCACCAGCCTTCCTCAGGCCAGCCCAGCCACGACGTCGGCCAGGTCAGCCCCGTAGCCCCGGTCCTCTGCCCTGAGGTAAGCCTCAAAAATGCCGCTAGCTTTCGTGTTGTGCATGTTCGCTGTAACGCTCCTCCATCTTTGTGAGCAGGGATGAATGCAAAATGTCTAAAATATTATCATGTTTTATTGTCACATGATATTCGCCTTGTGTTAGCGCTGGAGAATGGTCTGACTGCATCTCATTGTCATTGGGAAAAATGCTCTGGCATGTTTGTGTTTCTTTAAACCAATCACAGCCATCTAGGGGTGGTGCAGGATTTAGCAAGGGTGCCCATGCAAAACAGTGGCAGGGGAATTGCTTAGGTGCGGCATTTGCTCACTGGTGGACAGCAAGATGGCTAGCTCACCACTAAATCCAAGCAGATGTGCCTTTGCATGATTCAAATCTTAGTCAAAACTGGAGATTTCCAGCCTATAGTTTGCTTTCTCGGAGGAGGATACTCAAGCTACACAATGAGGAAATAAAGAGCATCCAGTGGTAGTGTAGCCTAACTTACATAAACACTTACATAAGGAACTGATGTCACCGTGGGCACTGAGCTCTCTCATGAATGAACGACGGGAGGGTGGGTTATGACCGTCTGACCCGAGTGTCACGCTCACAACGAAGTCATCCTCAATTAAATTAATTAGACTAATGGGATATCCCCGCAGCATGAGGGTGATCCCGTGATTTAGTCAGGTCTGGTAAAGGTTTGCACATGATGTGTTTCCAAACCGCAGCGCATTTAGTCATCACTGGAGTACAGTGTGCTTTCCAAATACACAAAAGCTGAGAGGGCACAGCATCCATATGACCTCATTCTTTCCAAACAGGGGGATGGGATGAAGAGAATGAGGGAGGGGGGGAAAAAAAAGCGTGTTAAAGAGGAGCAGACTGAATGAATCACTGTTGTCCGTCGTTTATCATTGAACTTTACGGCCATTTATTTAACTTTGACTTTAACAGCTGCACACAAACACACATACTTATGTGCTGTTTATACTTTCTCTACCTCCCCGAGCTCTGGCCTGTGGAAAGGGAATAGGAACCAAATGTCAGCGGACTGTGTGGGAGAGATGGTTTGCAACAGGAAAAACAGAGAGGCAGGCCAGTTGAGTAGTGAGAAAAAGGAAATGGCTATTCCTCATTAGACTTTCGCATACAATACACACACACACAAACAAGTTAGGAGACCTTTCCCTGGGTTTCGATTTCACTTTCACATGTCTGTTGGGTAATCCAAGTTAAAGGAAGGTGAAGTGGCAATGTGGCTATGCTGAGTTTGATCACAGGTTGCAGCAACCAGATACCACGAGTCTCTTAGCGTATGGTATGGCACTAAGCTCAAGTGTCTTGTTTTCTGGGGTTTCCTATAACCATCAGCCTTTACTGCATAGGTTACTTACATAGTGCAAATAGTAGCTACACCCTGAGGTAAAGGTCACTTAGAGAACTCCTGAAGCTATAAATATAATATGTGTATCTATACGGAGAGTTTAGGTCAGAACACGATTTCACTTTGTTCCCCTCATTTTGTCCTCCAGGCTAACTGCAGCACCAACAGCCCCACCAGTGGCAGCAGTCCCTCGACACGCTCCCGCAAACCTGGCGCCATCATTGAGAGCTTTGTCAACCACGCTCCCGGAGTCTTCTCAGGGACCTTTTCAGGTGAGAGGACACTGAGCTGCCTTTAGGATTTATTGCTGCTCTAAGCAATAACCGTGCACACAGTAAGATCCAGCTGAAAGCCTCTTTTATGAGAACCTGCATGCCTTCACAAAAATGCCCAGAAAATTAAACACAGGCTCCTCTGTCTGGTCTCAGTGCCCTTAAATACTTCTGCGCTTCTTAGGTTTTTCTTCCTCTGCAAAGGAAACTAAATACACATCTATTGTAGCAGTTTTTTAAAAATAGTTTTGCTCCCTCCTTTCAGGCACTTTGCACCCTAACTGCCAGGACAGCAACGGGCGTCCCAGACGAGACATCGGTACCATCCTGCAGATCCTCAACGACCTCCTGAGCGCCACTCGCCACTACCAGGGCATGCCCCCCTCCCTCACCCAGCTCCGCTACCAGACCCAGTGCGGTTCGCCCACCTCCCCGTCCCCCTCACCGCCCCCTTCGCCTCCGGTTACTGGCATGACGGGCCTCTCTGCCAAAGCTACCTCTGTGCCCGCCGGCAGCCCCAGCAGCCCTCCGCCGACTCTCCATCCGCTGGTGCAGTGCCAGAGCCAGATCCGCATGTGCAAACCCCCTGGTGAGTTACTCCACTCCACACCCCCCCCCTCTGCTCATGCAAGCATGTCAAGAACACAAACAGAAACACCCCTCACGCATTAAGTCACTGTGCATCCCTTGAAGCCCTCATGAAGCAGATGTTCCTGCTGTTGCCACAGCTTTAGAAGAGTGCGCGTATGTGTTTAGCGTGTGCGAAATCACTGTCGTCTAGAGCCTCAGCGCCGCTCTCGTTTTGCAACCTACTGAAGAATTCATTGACATCTTTGTCTTTCCGTTTCTATTCTCATAGCACATCATGCTTAGCTCAGTCGTGTTGCATCATTATCCTCAAGTGCTTATTTTTGTTCTTTAAAACACTGACAAAGCAAGAACAGAAATGTCAGATTACCGAACAAAAACAGCCACGCATGTAGTGTATGTCTCTTGGGTTTTGAGGCAGATGAGAAGAGCCAGAGAAGGGAGGAGCGGGGGTCCCCTCAGTAATGCAATACAAGCTTCTCCAGACCTGTTCAGTCAGGCTTCACTTGTCAGGCAGCAGAGTTGGCTTTGTTTTTGTGCGCCAAGGAGATAGGCTTACCCCTTCAAGCCTGGGCTGGGCTATGTTTAGATTAGATTAGGCTTTGGGTGAATAACCTACCTCCAAGAGAAGGGCCACAGCTGGGGCATGTATGGGCTGGGTGCTGGACAAACCTTAACATACCCGTGCTGGAGGGCTGGGCCGGGGCAGGTGCTGGAGTTCAGATGATAGCACTGAGAGGCCGGGTTTGAATGTTTGAAAACCCTCCTTTCCTCGCAGCGACATGAGATGTTGAGTGCCAGACAGATGTCCAGAACCGATAACATTCAGTCAGTGTTGTAAGGTTACACTGGCTGCGCTGGAGAAAAAAAAAAACAGCATTGTCCTCCGCTGCCGCCCTTTATGTCCCTCTGAGGAAATCAAGCAAGTCTTCGGTGAAATTTAGTGGAAATTCACCAGCGGTTGCTAAACAGCCTTGCGATTGGTGTTGAATGTTTTCTTTCAGTTCTACAAAGCATTAGCACACATTTCTATTGTTGCAGTCTGGCTTCGTCTGCTGCTTTTATGACCTTCTGTTGCAAGCGGGAGGAAGTGTTTGAGCAACTGAACACCGACTCACTGGGAATGTCCACTATTCCACTGCATCACCCTGGGTGCCCTTACAAGTGTTCGGCGGACAGTTGGAATAACACGGGCTTATTTTCCTAACTCAGGGAAGACCATTCCTTCTCTGCCCCCACCTCCATCCTCACCCCGCCCTTCCCCTCCTCCTCTCCCCCCCGGCTCTCGTCATCTCTCTCCGTCTGCGCTCAACAGCCCACGCTGCTGTTTCCCCCCCCATTTGCTGTCCAAAAACAGCCTTGTCTGTAAAATCCATCTCTGTGTCTTCCTTCCTAATCACCCCCTTCTCTTTCCATGTCTGCACCGAGCATCAATACATTGTCTGTGCTCGCTTGGCCTTTAAATAGATTTATTCCAAAACGCAACTCTGAAAAGAATTTGCTTTGTGAAGTCGAGGACAGTAGGAGGAGGAGGAGGAGGATGCGGAAGATGGGGGTAGTTAAAACCACAACACTAAGCCTCCATTCATCGTATGGGTGTTTATATCCTGTCCATCAGTCTACCAACTGCCCATTTATTATCCAAGGGCAACGGGTGAAAGCATAGCCTGTCTAATGCCCTTTTCCGACTTAACCGCCTTGATCCGACTTCCTGCTCCGCGATACGCACTTCCAGCGAGCGAATGGGTAACTGGTAAGCGCAGTCGAACTCGAGCGAGACAATGAATGCGCCGGTGTGTTTGCGTGGACAAGAGGCGATGTGCCTATTTGTATCCTGTTCCGCATGGTGTCCCGAGGAAGCCGATGACTAAGCGCTCTCAGGCAAGGTCTTATCAGCCGACACCTGATGGAAGACTTACTGGACTTAACACTGTGGCTTAACTCTGCTTCACAGAAACCTGCCTTCATTCAGTTACAGGAAAGAAGAAAAAAAAAAAAAAAACACACAACCTGCGCTTCCCATCTGCCTGAATATGTGTGCGCAGTCAAACTCAGGTTGAAGCAGCCTCTTGAAAATGTCACATAGCTTGGCTGTCTCCTGAGAGCCTTTACCCTTTCCACTGCAAGTTCATGTGAGAGGTGGAGAAGACAAGCGTAAATAAAAAGCTAGAACACACACTCACACACACATGCACACACACTCGAACCACAAGCGCCTGGTTAAAGGCTCGGGCAACTGGCTCGGTTTCATGCTGTATAGTATTGCTGAGTTGTGGGGGATTTGTCAGCCAAGGACTTGTGCTGAATTTGAACAGGAGGGCTTTAGGATGGCCTGGCAGTGCTGATTGTTAGCTAAATTCCTCTACTGAGCAGGGTGGACCTCCCCGGCACCCCCTCCAGCACCTCTCGCCCCCTGCCCAGCCAAAGCCATTGTGTGGGGGCCGGGGACAGGGGGCTGTGTACAGGGCACCAGGCTGAGCCATTGTGGAGCGGAGCGAGGGGAGGGCGACGGGATTATAGAGCTGCCTTTTAGTCCCACTCCCACTGCAGCTGCCTTAGTTCAACACAGGCACACAGAGAGGGGCAAAGCAGGGGCAAAGTTAGCATTGAAAGCTCCTCCGGCATCCCCCCCC